GATTAAAAATAAATAAATAGATAAGAAACCCCCAAGACTATGGCCTTTAGTCACCCTTCAGGTCTAGAGCTGAACTCACCCTGTCACTTAATTTCCAGCCAAATAAGACACTGGTCAGTAAGAGGGAGAGTATGGCTAGGAAGGTTCTTATGTTTTAGAACAATCAGCCCTTCAAGATGAATAGGACAGCATTTATCCAAGGACAAATTCAAAAGTGCTAAGAAAGAAGCAGGACTGGAAACAGGAACACTGGCAGGGACTAGGATGAATTAGGCTGCATTGAGGGGCTTATAACGCGTGAGATGAAACCACATGCATATGAGTTGTTGAATGTAAAACTGATGATCTGCTCTGTAAACCTTCATACAATTCACAATAAAAATTTAGAAAAATCACATGTCTGTTTTGGAAAACATCTATTAGCAAGAGAGACCAATCTGTGGAAAAAGGACATAATTCTTGGTAAAGCAAAGGGGTAGTGAAAAAGAGAAAGGCTCTTGTGGTAGTTCCATAATTTCATGTGAACCTGAAGCTATAAAAGTATAGGGATGGCCACAGCCTGATGGTGCCTCCTTGCGGATGTGACTTTCTCATAAGGTTAGTCCTGAGAACCTCCCCCCCCCCTCCTTCACTTTCATGCCAGCGAGCCAGTTGAGACCTGTGGGAGTCCTGGAGATGTGTCCACCACCAATGGATCCACAAGACTTGCACCCACTGGCCTATAATCTTCCTACATCATTGCATGTGGCTTCATGAGTTTGAAGAGGGATTTATGAACTAGAATTGGACTTATGGACTAGTATTGGACTTATGGACTTGAGTTGGACTCAGTTTGGATATTTTCTTGATATACGATTACTTCTTGATATTAAGTTTTATTTTACACATGTATGAGTGTGATAGGTAGGTTTATTGTGCTAACCTGGCCAATAGGAACATGTGGGATTAACCAGGTTGCAGTTTGATTGGAGGCAAAGATATAAGTGACTTGTCTCAGCAAGGCCCACTCCTCTATCTCTTGCTCTCTGGTAATCGGACCAGCATGTGACTGCTTTAGCTAGTTCTCTGCCTCAACTTGTGAGCTACACTACCTGTGGGACAGCCAACCCATGGATCATGTTGCCGGAGCTTGAGGTTTCTTTAGAGACCTGCTTTGCCATGCTGCTGGTGTGTGCATTGCTTGAGCTTGAGGCTGGTGAATCTTGTTGTCTTGCATTGCTTGAGTTTGATATTCCATCTGGGCCTGCTTTGCTAAGCTCATGAGCTGCTGACTGTTGGTGACCTGCCCTGCTGTTTGCTGCCTGTGGGCAGATTCTGCCTGCATCGCCCGAGGGAAGAGTCAGCTGTTTGCTTCCTTGACCCTGGACCCAGCAGCCCTAAGGACTCCAGTATATAACTGTTCCATGGAAGTGAGTGGAACTAAGCCCTCTGTACTGCTGTGTGGACTAATTAGTTGTTATATTCCTTCATGCTGTATATGTCTATCTTCATATATATATATATATATATATATATATATATATATATACACATAAGTGTCCTGGTTTTGTTTTGCTACAGAACCCTCTCTAACACAATGAGTGTCACTGAATTTATTTCTCTAGTCAACCCGGCCTAATACAGTCCTCAACAAGATGGATTGACACAGTGGCTACAGCGATGGGCTTGAACATGGCATTGATTGTGAGGATGGTGAAGGACTGGGTAGTATTCTGTTCTGTTGTACATAGGGTTGCTATGAGTAAGAACCGACTTAATGGCACCTAACAACAGCAACAACAACAGCAACAACATGAGCTCCAACTCTTTCAATGAAGTGAACAGGTATTCTTCCCTGACAGCTTGGAACAAATAGACTGTTCGTGCTCTCTCTGGGTGCAGCTGAGGCCTCCACTGGTAAACTGTGTTCTCGTTTCTTTCTTCTTCAGTGGCAGAGAACATGTTCTCCGGTTAGAAACACCCACAGGTTTTGTGCAGGAAGGAACTGTGCATGTGCCCAACCCACACAACGTATCTGGAGGCAAGCCCCAAGTGGCTGCAGAGCTGGCCCAGAGGTCTGCTCCTCAGGGGGCTGGTTGCGTGCCTGGATGTTGAGCAGGTACTTGGGCAGCCTGCTGAGCGGTTATTGAACTCACAAGGCGTCAAGTGGAGAAGGCGTGGCTCTGAGTGTAACTCTCCACCTCAGTTCAGTTATTTCCACTTTGTATAAGTTTGTCACACAAGTTACCTGTTTCCTGCTGTGACTGGGTGACGAAGGTGAAGTACCGTTGGATGGTGTACTGAGCAAGCCGCAGGTTTTCCAGCCCACGCACAGAGTCATTGCCTCTCAGCCACATGAACTCCACGTCGTTCCCATCATAGCCCCCTGCAAAAACAGGTGTCCTGGTCAGTGCAGAAGGAGCTCTGGTGGCACTGTGAGTTAGGTGCTGGGCTGCTAACCCCAAGGTTGGAGGTTCAATCCCACTAGCTAGCCAGGTACTTCTCAGAGGAAAGATGAGACTGTCTGTTCTCATAACGATTTATAGCCTTGGAAACCCCACATAGGGTCGCCAGAAGTCAGGACTGACGCGATGGCAGTGGGTTAGGTTTGTTGGTTTGGAGCTTGGTGCAAAGTCATTGCAGAATGAAGTGGTCTGGGGATGGCCTGGGTTCTGTCTTGCTCGGGGTCCATCCAAACCTGGCTTGTTTCTGAAGTGTAATTACTGTGTGATTTAGAACAAGGAGTCCCAGCATGGGGCACTGCCAACAGAAAGGTTAGAGGTTTGAATCCACCCAGAGGCAACTTGGAAGAAATGTCTGCTAATCTACTTCTGAAAAAAACCTTTTGGAGCATAGTTTTCAAGTAGCTTGTTCTCAGGAACTCTGACATGTGGGGTCACCTTGAAGCAGAATCTACTCAACAGCAACTGCTTTTTGCTAAAAAAGAAAACTCCAAACTCGCTTTCATCCAGTCCATCCTGGCTCAGCAACCCAATAGGAGTGGGTACAGCTGCCTCTGTTGGTTTCCGAGACCGTGAATTTTTACGCGAGTAGAAAGCCCCATCTTTCTCCTGTGGAGCAGCTGGTGGTTTCAAACTGGTGACCTTAGATCAGTGGATTGCAGCCCAATATGTAACCACTACATCACCAGGGCTGCTTGGTCTTGATAAAAGTGAGCAGCGAAGCCCCTTCTTGGGCACTTGGCTTTTCCATTGCATAAAGGCTCACTGTCATGGCATGGTCGCTGCTCTTCCCCAGGGTGGATGTGAGCAAGCGTGGCATGGAACCAGATCCTCTGTATTGATAGGGTTAAAAAAATCACCGAAACTCTCAGTGAGGTTTCTATACCCAAATAACTTCTAATAAACATGCAGCAAAAGCATCCTCAGCTCACCAGGGATGGGGCTGATACGAGCAGAGAGCTGATGTTTCCAGGAGAATCTCCCCTTGGGATTTGAAATGAGCACAACCACGGCACACAGGGGGCAATTACTCTTTCCATGTGGCACTGATAACTGCAAGTTTTATTCTGCTGCCAAACAGCTGTACTGCTTCAAGAAGGTTTTGCATGCATTTAGTCAATATGATAATTAATTGGTCTGGCTGAGTCTTTAATTAAAGATCTACCTCTGAAAAATAACTGCTGCCTCCTAACGGTGGTGCATTCTGGCTTTTGGAGCACTTGCATCTTTATAAAGTGCAGCGGAGCATGGGCTCCAGCTCTTGGCTAGTTTTTGGTCTCCTTGTAAGAGCCACACCAGATGCCTTAATAAACCCTGCCCCTATCACAGTGCCATATCCCCAGCCACAGAGTGCTTACGTTGGAACCATGGAGGCTACTCCACAATGGCAGAGAATTCATTTGACATACATCAATAGAGAATAAATTCTCCTTCCTCCTTGTGAGCAAATCCCCAGGTAACAGGATGGATGCCCATTTGCTGACATTACTGTATTATGCTTTATATTTATCAGGTAACAGCTTTTAAAAGTTGGAAGTAGCTCTATGATACATGTCAATGACTACTTTGTGCATGTGCAATTTCTCACTGCTGCTGGGTCTTTCTTGGTTCCATTCAGCAGCACCTTTTGAGTCCCATTCCTTGTCCCCTTGACCAGCTCCTGGTGATCACCCACATCTCATTCCAGGTGACACTGTCCCTAGACACTCCCTGGCTCTCCTGGGCTCTCAGAGTCTTCCCCTATTACAATTACAAAAAGGTGCCCTTCCCTTTGGACTGTAGACTGCTTGACACCTGGCACCTTGTTTTAATCTTTGTGTCACAAGCATCTCCCATGGTGTCTACCACAAAACAGTCACCTAATTGTTGAATGAAAGCATTTGAATGAGGACAGACGGCAGGGGGGAACTCAACTAGTTATCCAGCTGACCCGGAGACTGCAGTGGGTGCCAACAGTTAACACCCAGAGCTGCCAGCTGACAGGTTAGAGGTTCAAGCCCATCTAGAAGCACCTCGGGAGACAGGCATGGTTTTCAATTTCAAGAAAATCAGCCATAGAGAACCCTATGATGTGCCATTCCATTCGGACACATGCAAGGAGCTGCCAGGAGCCAGAGCTGACCTAATGGCCACTGGTATAGGTACTGGTAAGAGCATGCAGAACTGAAGTGTTGGGACAAGGCAAAATACTTTTCTTGAGTAAGTGATTTAGGACACTCAGGGAAGGATGAACACTGGTTTTGGCCCTACATAAGGTTGGAAGGGGCTATAGAAGAATATGTTTTAGTTCACTGATGTATCACTATTCAGTGATCCTTGCAATTCAATTGGACTTTCCAGCAGAATTGGGAGGATCCACAACAAGCATCACCTGGTTTCCAAATTTACGGGAAAGTGATGGTAACAAAATGGGCTAACTAGAACAAAACTAGACTAGACTAGAACTAAACAAACTAGAAAAACTATAAAGGAATTATTAAAATCTTTTTGTTATTTATTTTGTTATTTATATTATTGCTTAAAAGTACTTTATGGCACATGCAGGGAAAACATATTATTTAGATCACAAACCAGTCGTTGGGACAAAGAAAATCCCTATGTGACTCTCCAGTCAAAAAGAAGGGTGCCAGCGCAGGGCCAGAGACACAGGACTCCACACCCTGTGCTCAAGTATCAGTATTGCTACTTATGGTGTCCCTTTGTGAAAAGTACAAAGCAAAGTGAAGTCAAATTCCTTTATCTGGAAGGACTCCCTGGCTGGTGCAAATGGTTAATGCACCCACTGCTAATTAAAAGATTGGAGGGTTGAGTCCACCGGAGGCACATCAGCAGAAAGGCCTGGTGCTCTACTTCTGAAAGACCATAGTCTTGAAAACTCTATGGAGCACAGCTCTACTCTGACACTGGTGGGTCCACCAGGAGTTGGAATCAACTCAACAGCAATGGGTTTAGAGTGAATTGTTTGAAATGCCCCTGGTACAGTGGCTAGTATGTAGTAAGCAACAGGTAAATAGAGGATGTAGTATTTCTCAGAAAAAAACAACAGCTACACCTAATTTAATGCTATTTATATTATTATTATTTAGTTCCAATCTTGTTTGATCACAGAGACCAGGGAAAGAATAGATTGAGGTCCTGGAATATACTGTTATCTCTTCCAAGAAGTCTTTCCCTACTAGGGTTTCTGTTTCCTCTTTGATGGATTCTGAAGATTCTCTAGTAAACAGCATTTTCTTTCTAGAGCTAAAAGGGTAGCCCTTTGTGGATTTACGAACAAATGAAAAGGGGCATTCATGATAGGTCTATGACCTCTTCATTAACTTCTATAACCACCCATTGCTATAGAGAGTAGGTGATGATTTTAGTCATAGAGTAATTCATGAGGCATTACTCTATGACTAAATTCTCTATTCACCTGGAGTCATAGGCCCTCTGAGGATTAGCAGCCAGGTAGCTAGCATCAAGAAAATGCAGAGAGTTTAGGTACTAGGTGCTAGTCCAAACCTGTTTTCTATATAAATTTCTATATGAAATACTTTCTATATAAAAGTTTTCCTACACAATACTTCATGAAATAAAATCCCAATGTTAAATCAGGTAAGGGAATGATACCACCCCCTCTTGGAATTTCACATCCAATTACCTTATTAAAGGCTCTAAAAGCTCTCCAGCAAAATAATAATAATAATGCTAATACTTAAGGCTTTGTGGGCCATTTAGTTTCTGTCTCAACCACTCAGCTCTGCTGGTGAAGCCTGAAACCAGCCACAGATATTAAGTAAACAAAGGGGCATGGGTGTGTTAGATATAATTTTATTTCTAGAAACTGGTGGTGGGGTTGGCCAAGGGTGGGAGGTAGTTTGCCAAGTGCCGACCTAGACCATTAAAGGCATGGAAGAATTTCCTTTGACCATCATGGAGAGTACTCTTAGCTGGAAATACTCAGTAAGAGTTGACAATTGCCTTGCTCAAAGATGACATGTTCGTAGGTTTTCCTTTGAGTAGTCTCTAAATATTTGTGTATGAACAGCCAGTATGGGAACAAGCATTGGGAACAAACATGGAGAAGAGAAAGGACTGTATACAGAAAACTCTTCAACATATCAAAACCTTTGGGACACAGCAAAAACAGTAATCAGAGGCCAATTTACAGCAACCAACACACACATGAAAAAGAGAAGTCAAAATCAATACCCTAACAGCACCTTCAAGAACTAGAACAAGGACAACAACATAGACCCTCTAATAAAAGTAAAGAAATCATAAGGATCAAAGCAGAAATAAATTATATGGAAAACATCAACAAGACAAGAAGCTGGTTCTTTGAAAGGATTAACAAAATAGACAGACCACTAGCAAACTTAACAGAGGGGAAAAAAGAAAAGGTGCAAATACCCAGAATAAGAGATAAAAGGGTGACATTATAACAGATCCAAATGAAATAAAAAGAATAAAAACATGCTACTATGAAAAACTTTATTGAAACAAATTTGACAATCTAGAAGAAATGGACAGATACTTAAAAATACATCACCCACTCAAATTAATGCAGATATTGAAAAACTCAACAGACAAATAACAAAAGAAGAAATAGAGTAGGTCATGAAGAAATTATCAACCAAGAAAAGGCCAGGACCAGATGGCTTCACAGGAAAATTCTACCAGTTTATTCAGAGAAGATCTGACACCAATACTACACAAACTATTCCAGAACATAGAAAAAAACCAACAAACTCGCAAACTCATTCTAAGAAGCCAGCATAACATTGATACCCAAACCAGGCAAAGACTACTCAAAGATAGAAAATTATAGACTAATATCCCTCATGAACATAGACGCTAAAATCATCAACAAAATTCTGGCCAGTAGGCTCTACCATCATACATAAAAATTTTAAAAAATCACCATGCCCAAGTGGGATTT